ACTTGTTGGAGTAATAGAGTCAAAGAAGAATCGTTATTAGATCAGCGCAATAAACAGTTCCCACAATTAATGAGTTGTTTTTGAAATCGGTACCTACTTCAATGCAACATTTTACTGAGAACAAAAATRACTTAGCGTGATTTGTACACAGAAGAATAATACACCGGAACTCTTTCCAGAACAAAATATAGCATTTAATAGCACTATKCTGCAAAGTGTGACCAATCAATATTATCAATCTGATGAATAGTACTTTTTGGACACATTAGATGCAACTGAAAAAACGTTCTTAATTTTCTTGATCCTGAATAAATCCGACCAAACAGATATATTGGATTATTGCTCTTCTTCTTGTTGCTGTCACATTAATAAATAGAGAGAAAATGGCACATAACCTGACGAGTCGCGAAAATTATATTATTAATTATATTATAGAATATTTAAACAATATAATATAGATTTATGTACATTTCTAAAGAATTGTGTTGTCATGATAATATAAGTGTTTACTATTTTAATCATATAAAATAAAATATTAATAATAGCTAAACAAACAGCAATCGTTCAATACACGATGCAAATTGCATTCATTTTATTACTGTCTTTTAAAGTAGCATTATCTGAATCTAAATCTATCAAGCATACACACAAAGGACTTATAACCAATAGAGAAATGTATAAAGTCGAAGATTATCCATACGTAATGTCTGTAAAAGTATTAATACCTAATAAAAAGATGGAGACTTGTACAGGCTCATTATTATCAGAATTGCTTGTATTGACTGCTGCTCACTGTATTTACGGTAAAGACAAAAGGGATTTAAAAGTAAATAAACCTATGCAATAGGTATTTAATGTAAAAACTACATTTAACATATTATATTTACTTTTAAAATACGTTTAAATACGCTGTTACTAAATTGTCAATGTTTATGCAGGTATATCAAGGCTCGTGGATAAAAAATCGTGATTCACGAAACGTAGTTAAGCTATTCGTACATGAAAGCTATAACCCTGTATCTGAAGTTATAATTGGAGATATAAGTGTATTGAAAGTATGCGTATTTTTATTTTATATTAATATTATACTACCTAAAAACTTTAAGATTCGTTTGTATCTATTTAGCCT